TATATAGCTGGTTAGCTTTCACAAGGAGACATAGATTCTCCGAGATTGAAGGGTTGGCTTTGTGTTTGACAATGACCTTCAATTCGATTTCTTTTTAGATTTAGCAAAGAAAAACAAAAAAAGAAATGCACCACCATCACTTTAACACGATATAAAAACAAATAAAACAAACATTGAAAAGCTTGCTTTCATGTTAACTCTAAAATTATTCTATAAACAATACTGTTATCGAATCGAGAACTTTTTTATATTTTTCTGGTAAGTTCGGAAAAGGTTTCATCAATCTCGATTCTCACATCAATGCAAAGAAAAAAAAAAAAAAATCTGGGTATCCCAATTGTACAGAGTTGGTTAAATTTATCAAATTTGAAGGGTGATTTGTGGATTTGTAGGGACCACTATTTACTTGGGTTCAGAATCAGTATGGTTTTTGTGGATTTGTAGGGACCACATTGCCCCAATTGTCAAGGTATAATGTGACGAATGTGACGACTGTGCTTACCGATTTCGTTTTCAATTGGGCTTGGACCATGTCTCCCAAACAATCTTAGTACATATGGCCCATGGGCCAGAAATGCAAGTCCCACTCTAAAATATGTAAAGAAAAAATTACGCTTTATATTTTGTTTATGTACATATATAGAGAAAACATCTTCCCTTTCATCAAATATTTCGCAGGAGGGTAGGAAGAGAGAATTAAAATGAGTAGCAATAAATTGATAAGGGGTTTTTTGGGCGTAAACTCAAATTGGATTCGATTTCCACAAAGTGCAAAAATACAATAATTTAAATAATAGGTTTACAAACTATCCAAGAGTTTAAATTAACTAACAGTTATGTTGATTCTTTGTTGCGGAAAAAAAAAAAAAATTGATAGTAATGAGACTCCCCGTCAGTGGAAGGTAGGTTCAACCATTCCCGCTTGTGAGGTAGGCTGTTTGCAAACAAATTACCGGAGGTCAATTAGAGAAGCGGGATTATTTTATCAGAGACCAATTTGGTTTTGATTAATTTTTGTTCTTTATGATGATTTATAACTACTTAAAGTTTTTAAAGTCTAATTGTTTTATTCCAAAATACATAATAGTCAATTTAATAAAATATTTTTTCCAATACTTAGAATTGGTGGTTACATGAAAACCTTATTTTATCGTTCTATGTTACGTAAGGCAATAGTCTCATTTAAATCACCTTCTTTTTTTTTCTTTTCTTTTTTAACATATGTTATAATAAAATTAGATTATTATTATCATTGCAAGTGTTTTATGGTTTAATTTACTACTTAATCTTAAATAAATTGAGCCTTCGTGATAATACAATTTGGATATTGGTTTAGAAACACATAGAATGAAGAAAAGAAAAAAAACAAAGGCGAAATTAATTAAGGGTAAATTCAGAATTAAATATGAAATTGTATATAGGCATAAATACATAATAGACTTTTTGGTTTCATTATAAGGTAAAGGCTCGCGTGCACTTTACACCCTTATGATATCGATATAGTGCGTATAACCTAGGGCTGCAATTTTGGTTGACTCAACCCAACCCAACCTCAACCCGAATCGGGTTGGGTTGGGCCAACCTAAATTGTACTCAACATGAGTTATGGCCATAATCCGAACAGAATATTTTCAGTCACGTTGGGTCGAGTTAACGGGTTGAGTTATTTTTTTTAAAAAAAAAAAAATTCGGAAATATATATATATCATATATATATATATATATATATATAATATTATTTTATATGTATTATATATATGTGATTATATTATTATAAAATATATATATTTTTATATCTAGTATGAATTTATATAAATAAATCTAACAAAAAGGGTATAATTCGCACAAATTAAAAACCAGAAGGATGTTTTTTAGACTTTTCCCTAAGGTAATTGACTGTATTTTGGAGTCAGAATGAATAGATGGATCATCAAAAATGGGCCAAGCCTTTTAAGTCTGTGGAATGTCATCTCAAATCTCATCTTTTGTTTGGAAATACTGAATTTAGAATTAGACAAAAAAAAATTTTTAAAGTTTGAATTAAATGTTACCCATTCTAATTCTAAGGCATTGATGCTTCCAAATGAGATTTTAATTTCATGGATGATGAAGAACATTATGAATGTAGAGATGATTGAACCTTGAAATAAGTGTACCATGTCCATAAGCATTATCCTCTTTTTATGGCTTGAACTTAGTGTGATTTTTTTTGGTGGGGGAATTAACTTTGTTCCATCTAAGCAATGCATTGCTTAGGTTGAACTTACTATATATATATATATATATATATATATATATATATATATATTCTAATTTAATCTCAAGCGGTGATCTAGATTGGAATAGAATCCGTGTAATCCAGTCAGTATCAAACCATAATGTCACGAAGTGATTCCTAAGACGCTTGGAGGATGGAAGACACGCATGCTGGTTGGCAAAGAGCAGAGTTTGACTGGGAATGGTTCCAGGGAAGGGGCGTGCAGGAGCACAGGATGGTACCTCTTCAGAGTTCAGGCAGGTCGACTCGGTTCAGTTCGAGGTGCTTGTCGCTAGTCTTGGACTTGACTATAAAGAAGGGAGTTGGCCATCCCTGCACAAACTGGTCGGGAGCTGGAGCCGTTCCCCTGACGAGGCCATGGCAGGCCGAAACCAGTCAGCATGTATCCTTGGAAGGGCAGGTCGTGGTGGCTGACCAGGGCGCTTGCGCGAGCTGAAGCAACGCCTTGGTGCCGCATGGGCCGTGCCGCTGCGCCAAATCTCTAGGCCCGTGACAAATGGTATCAGAGCAGGACTTGGGGTAAAGCACGGTGGGGTGCCCCCTTGTCGGTCCGGGAGGGGTCAAAGAATGAAGACGGTGCATTGAAGTTGCGTCGATGTGGAGGAATCAATGCAGTTGGGGGGGAGAGCCTCCATCTCCCCAGGAAAAGGCGTCCGTTGAAGTTGCGCATTGAAGGGCCGGAGGGCCGCGCGCACCAAAGTTCGTGCTTAGTCCTTGGGTGATGCAAACCATGGTGAAGGGCGAGCATCAAGTCGGCAGAAGGCCATTACTTGCTCGGGATGTCGAGGAGGCGGCATGACGGAGAAGAGTCACGTCCTTGAGGAGTGGACGTCCCCTTGGTCCGAGGCCTATCATTGGGCGAGTGCAGTGCAGGGAGCTGCACAAGGAAGCGATGGTGGGAAGGCGAGCATACCGCATGGAGGCAGACTTTGGAAGGGAGTGGACGCAGTAGTGAAGCGCCGCACTGCGACGAGGACGTCGCAGGATTTGGGTGGGGGAGAATGTCACGAAGTGATTCCTAAGACGCTTGGAGGATGGAAGACACGCATGCTGGTTGGCAAAGAGCAGAGTTTGACTGGGAATGGTTCCAGGGAAGGGGCGTGCAGGAGCACAGGATGGTACCTCTTCAGAGTTCAGGCAGGTCGACTCGGTTCAGTTCGAGGTGCTTGTCGCTAGTCTTGGACTTGACTATGAAGAAGGGAGTTGGCCATCCCTGCACAAACTGGTCGGGAGCTGGAGCCGTTCCCCTGACGAGGTCATGGCAGGCCGAAACCAGTCAGCATGTATCCTTGGAAGGGCAGGTCGTGGTGGCTGACCAGGGCGCTTGCGCGAGCTGAAGCAACGCCTTGGTGCCGCAAAGGCCGTGCCGCTGCGCCAAATCTCTAGGCCCGTGACAATAAGCTACGTTAGAACATGGGCATGATATGGTACAAAGGTGATAAAATTATTAGAAGCTTTAAGTTGTCCCGCTTCTGGTAGATAGTTGCGAAGGACTTTACATAGTGTGTAGAGAATTGTGAAATTATTATGAAGAGATGCGAATTCTACAACATTAGAGCATTTGAAGGGAATTGTAATTTAATAAGCCTTATAGAAGAGTAAAGAATTTTATAGACATGGTAAATATTTATATAACCTAGATGGAAAGATCTAGGAGTAGATTTTAATCAATGATTACAATGCATCCTAAGTGTTCATACGAAGGAGGATTTCTATACAAGATATAAGAAGTAGATGTGTCATTTGTAATCATAGTGAAGGTAGAACTTGGAGGTGAGAGTGAGTGGAAGGCTGTGCCCAAGAAACTAGTGTTTTTGAGGCTTAAAAAACACTTCTTGAGCAATAGAAACATGTTTTTTTAAAGTAGTTATATTTTCGGTGTGCGAACTACTTAGGAGATTCACGTCTATATATTTTGGATATAATCCGCTACGAGGAATTAGGGATATAAAAAATTTATATTATATTTGAAAATATGTATCAAAAATTAAATATACCTAGTAGAAAACTAAAATTTGGTAAATGAACTATATGATTTGATTTTGACTTTAATTGAATTTTTTTTTATATATAAGTTTCTTTACAACATATTTTAAATAACAATTTTTTGTACACAGTTGCATTGCACATTTGACAAATAACTCTATTTCTACATGAGAAAGATCATCTTATATCAAACACTCAGAATATTTGTATGTAGAAGAAGTAATCATCACAGCAATGGTTAAAACTCTTTGTTTCAGAAAAATGCACTTCCTTCTATTAGTAAATTGCTGACATCATGGAAGCCTCCTAAACATGATTGGATGTTATAATACCAGGAAAGAAGCTATTTGCGAATGATTGTGCTACACTTTGAATACCTGTTTACTTATTCGAATTTTGGACGTCTGGATGAACAACCATACCATTGTGTACCATTGTGTGCCGAGGTCGAACCACCTTACCAACCTTACCATTGTGCCGAAATCCTGTTTCCTTATTTCCTGTTTCCTTATTTGAACTTGTGACTTCATGATAAACAACGAAGTCCTGTTTCCTTAATTGAATTGAACTCATGACGAACAACCTTACTATTGTGTCGAAGTCCTGTTTCCTTATTTGAAATCATTACTTCATAATAAGCAACTTTACCAAAGCGCCCACAAACAATTGATAAACAGTAAAAAACAATCAACCAAGTTGGACTTGTAAGACATGAACTGGCAGAAGCCAGTGGCAATGAACTAAGGAACAAGCAAGTTAAAATTCCATATAACCAAGAAACAAATTATAGTGCCTCTTAACTCACGTACCCAAAAAAAAAAATAGAGAGACCAATTTATACCAATAAAGCACATTTTCAACTCAACACTCTCTTCCTCATTCAGTACTAGGCTACAGTAGAGGCATTCATCATCTCCAAAACCCTGACTGACTCTTGGGAAAAATGTCATTACTCTCACACAGTAAGACCTTGCGGGGGAGCAGCCATAGGTGCCTTAGGTTTGACCTTTTCCACAACAATGGCTTGCGTGGTAAGCACCATTCCTGCAACTGAAGCTGCATTCTGCAATGCACATCTTGTCACCTTAGCTGGGTCAATTACTCCAGCCTCCACCAGGTTCTCATATTTGTCTGTCATTGCATTGTAACCAATCTCCCACTCTCTATCCTTTACTTTTTCCACAACCACCTCGCCTTCAACCCCAGCATTCTGAGCGATCAAAGATGCTGGTGATAAAAGTGCCTACATGAAGAACGCACAGTCAATGTGTGTGTATATATATATATATGGGGAAAAGAAAAAGAATTTTCTGAACTGCTAAGCGTTGTGCAAAGGTACCATGATGATAAGTAAAACTTCTACTCAGAATCACCGTGTATAGTTTCCTCGTTAACCTAAGGGATTTGAGTTCAAACATGTACTTAATTATTATTAGTTCATCAGGTTGAAGCCATTTGAGTTCCAAGTCTGCCAACATGACAAGCTGGAGCCCAACCAACCATCATCAACTCTAGGGAAAAATCAACTCTAGCAAAAGTCATTGATCAGATTGATTGACCAAGTGAATTATACGTATTTCCATAAGAGGTGATCCGTATCACAATGACATATTGCTTAGCAGTAGCCCTAGGAAGGAATGTTAGGGATTAATAAAATTATGGTATAAACTTTTTCCCTATGGAGCAAATTAAATGTAAATCTAAGTGAGTATACTTTAGTTCGTTTGCTACCTTCTGCACAATGTCAGCGCCTAATCGTTCATCTGCATCTTCAAGCTTGTCCTTAATGGCAGGTACACAAGTGGATAGATGAACCATTGCAGCCCCACCACCAGGCACGATCCCTTCCTCTATGGCAGCAAAAGTTGCATTCTTGGCATCCTCAATTCGGAGTTTACGGTCCTCAAGCTCAGTTTCCGTTGCAGCCCCCACCTTTATAACTGCAACCCCACCAGACAATTTGGCAATTCTTTCAGCGAGTTTCTCGGAGTCGTATACAGAATCTGTCTCAGCCAACTCCTTTTTAATCTGTGCAATCCTGGCTTGGATCTCATCCTTTGTTGCAGCATCAGCAATGATGGTAGTGGAGTCCTTTGTGATGGTCACCTTTCTTGCCAAACCAAGCTGCTCAACAGAAGTATTCTCAATAAGTAAACCCAGATCACTGGCTTGGTACTCAGCACCTGAAAAATGCAGAAAGCTGTTAAAATTATCATTGTAAAATGCATACTATGTAGATGAATAAATAATTTCTCATATTATCATTGTAAAATGCATAATATGTAGATGAATAAATAATTTCTCATATTTTCTACCGATCTTTAAGATCACATTTGCCTGAAACAAGTGAAAATTAGAAACAAGCATTGTTTACAGGTCCTTGACCTTCATAGACATCAGTCATCACTAGGTGCAGAAGTTCTTGTTTAAAGAGTAATCAACAAACATTTACATTTTGAATAAGGCATGTTGCATCAATACACAAATGGAACTTCTGCTGGAAGAAAGCACAAGAAATAGGCAACATCTTTGGTTACCTGTCAGAATGGCAATATCCTGCAGGAGAGCTTTTCTCCTCTCACCGAAACCAGGGGCTTTAATTGCAGCAACGTTAAGGATACCTCTCAGTTTGTTCACAACAAGAGTAGCTAAAGCCTCCCCAGTGACATCTTCAGCAATAATCAGCAGAGGAGCCCGCAATTGAGTGGTCTTCTCAAGCAAGGGAATTATGTCCTTTATAGCTGAGATCTTCTGATCTGTAACCAACACTCTTGCGTTCTCAAATTCAACAATCAGTTTCTCAGGGTTGGTAACAAATTGTGGAGAGACATATCCTCTGTCAATCTGCAAGTCAAGGGAAAACCAAATTAACCAACAAGTCAAGTAGCTAACGTTTGAACTAAATAATATATGTTTAATACTAAAGATTAATGAAAATGAGAGAGGGAGAGAGAGAGAGAACAAATTTAACACTGCAGCTGATAGTCTACTAGAAGTACACACCTCCATTCCTTCTTCAACATCAACAGTTGTCTCAAAGGATGACGATGACTCAATTGACAGAACACCATCAGGTCCAACCTTGTCAATTGCATCAGCAATCATGGTCCCAATATCCTCATCATTTCCAGCAGAAATTGTAGCAATAGCTGCAATACAGTACACAGATTTATCATACAAAGCACAGGAATATTCATGGGCAGCTTAATTAACGTAGAAATAGAGTGAAAAAATTAAACTAACACACACTTCCAAGCATACCTTTGATATCATCACGACCTTTGACAGGCCTAGCTTTCTTCTCTAGCTCTTCAACCAAACCCTGCACAGTTTTTTCAATACCTTTCTTTATTGAAACTGGATTTGCCCCAGAGGTAACATTCAGTAGGCCTAGTTTGATTATTTCACGCGCAAGAACTGATGCAGTTGTAGTTCCATCACCAGCGGAATCATTTGTTTTACTTGCAACCTTCATTATTTGAATTACACATATTAGATGAGCAAAACAGAGAAATATCAGCAGCATCAGTGTGCTCGACTACACTTTAGTTTATGGCAAAACAAAGAAAACTCAGCTGCAATATTAATATTAGGAGACAAGTAGACTGAAAATATGAAAAACCAACCTCTCTAATGAGAGCGGCTCCAGCATTTTCCATAGGATCAGGTAGTTCAATAGCTCTAGCAATTGTAACCCCATCATTAACCACTTTCGGGGGGCCAAATTCATCCAAGACAACGTTCCTCCCTTCCAGAGCCAAAAGAAATATATCAGTTGATCGAGTTGTGACCATTCAATGACTTATTTGGGTAAAAAAACTTCAAAGCATAAACATTAAAGTACGGTAAAATTACACAGCATCACGTGTACTGCGTAGGTGACTTTAGAGCATAAACATTCAAGTATACGAAGCATCGTGTGAAGTTGGGCACAATAGATTTATCCAAGAACTGAAACAGCTTGATTTTAAGAGAGTATAACTAAATTACACAGCATCATGTGAAGTTGGGCACTATAGATTTATCCAATACCTGAAACAGTATGATTTAAAAGAATATAACAGAATGAAACCGAAAAGGAATAACGGGTTTTTTTACAAAGGAATTACTTGGAACAATATCAATTTCTTCAGCGAACCCTATAATTCTCAAAGCCTACTTTTTTCAAATATACCAGATTTCAGAAAACATGTTTTCTACAATTGCTTCACGATAATGACATTAATCAAAATTACAGCAAAATGAATAACGCCTCTACTAAAAATAAAATTTTCCATGTATATCCATCAAGTGGAAGTTCTACGGTAAGTGCTAACAATCTAATCTCATTTCAATTCTTCTATAATTGATTACCCATCGTTTCTTTCAATATATCGTACTAAAGAAAACCAAAACCGTTTTTTCGTACAGATAGATACATACATAGTTGTTAAAGGCTCAAGGCACACTAAGGCGCCAAAGGCCTCCTAGAGCCCAAACGCAAGGCACGAGTCTGATCGAAGTAAGGCGCGTGTATATAATAATGCATATATTATTATATATATTCATAATCAAACTATAATTGCAGTTAATGTAAGTAATGAATCATAAATTTATGAATTTGTCAAATATTTCATAACGTTAAACAATACTGTATATGATACAGAACCTTTTAATTTAGTAGCCAATAAGTAAAAAAGAAAGTGATATTAATAAATGATTAAAAAAATATAAGGTACGCCTTTTTGAGCTTGGAGCCTACTAAAAAGTGTGAGCCTAATTGAAGGGGCCTAGCCCTGGCCCTGGCCCTGTAGTAAGTTGAGACGCTCTAGCTGTCGAGCTGAACCTTGACGAGCCTTGGACTTTTTTTGGAGTCTAGGCGTGCCTTTAACAACTATGGATACATATATAGTTATTTTAACCCGTCAACACCAGAAAATCCCAGAATTGGATCACTACCCTGGTACAAATTCAATTTTTTTTATGAAATACGAGCAACGACTACAACCACAATAACAAACGCAGAAGAAAATGTGAAAATTTACCTCTGGGACCGAGAGTGAGCCCGACGGCATCGGCAAGCTTATCGATGCCGGCCTGAAGTGCCGACCTCGAACTCTGGTCGAAGGCGATTTCCTTCGCAGCAGCTCGCACCACAAAACGGCTCCTTGATTGCTTGTAATTCAGCTTCTGCCCCTGCAATTGATTCACCTTCCTACTCCTCAAACCCCCCTTTATTCGCACACAGTTTCAACACAAATTAACCAATACACATACACAAGTACATACATATATATATATATATATATATATATATAAACATAACACCAAACAAGAAACACATGTATAAAATATAAATATATATATAGATCAGTATAGTAAAACCTGTGTAGGAGTAGGGAGTATAGATGCAGTAGAGATGGCATTTGCTGAGGCCATTGTCTTCTTTGGCTTCCAAGAAGAGGAGAGACTGCGATTTTCTTTGTGAAATGCGAAGGTTTAGCCGCTTTGTATCGATAAGGTTGTGGCAGTTAGGGCTGTAGTTACTGTATATAGAGAGAGGGCGACAAGTTTCCAGAAGATTCCTCGATTTCTAGAACCGTTGAGCGCAAGGGCCCATCTTCGTCGATCTTGGGCTTTGGCCTTTGTTGGGCCGCCCAACAATAACTACCTGTTCTATTTATAAAAATCGACATCTGTTTTCCTCTTCTAAATAGCCTGGTTGGACACGGTTTGCAATTAGAAAAAATTTACTGTATTTTATATTTAATTTTTTTTATAATTAATTTAATTCTAAATTTATGCCACATCAAATATTAATTCAGTACTTTCAAATATAGTATTAATTCATTTATTTTTCTTAGCAAACAACAAATCAAAAGATAAATAAAGATCAAAATAAACTCCTAAATCAACTAAAATGCGATAAATTAGAAGGGTAAATCAATTGGAATGTATGCAACCAAAAAAAAATCAGAAATCAATTGGCATGTGATCCAAAATAGTCATTGACAACCGACCTTCTAGAGAGCTCTGTCACAGTCTGAGCCTACTCGCAGCTTTGTCACAACGTAGCATTAATTGATTTATTTGAAAAACTGTAATTCTGAATTCTATTATGAAAGATAGCCTCATAGCGTTATAAATCATTTCCATTTCTATAATCTGTTTTGTCTGTTTTTCTTTTTGGCTTGAAGTCATGCTAATTAATTTTTTTTATTTTATTTTTACTACAGGAGTAATTAATCAGATTATACATTGACACTTGGACTTCCATACGATTTTATTTTATTTTTTCAATTCCACTTTTAGAAATTTTCAATTTAATTTATGTTTTAGTTTTTGCAGCTGTGCTTACTGATTTACACATAAGGAGACACTTGAAATATCTGAGGCTTTTTTCCACTCTTAAACTTATATATTGTTATTACAGTCCAATATAATAAATATGGTACTCTGCTTGACTTGGCTTAATCCCGATTCCCTAACAATAGATGTATTAACTAATTTGGATTTAATTAGGTTTGAATTTGGTGTCATTGGATTCTTTTGGACTATACATAGTATTACCAATATTAAAAGAGATGGTATTAGTAGTATTACAACAATGTATATGTATAAAACATTAATCAAACTTTAACCAATTTTCAAAATTTCAATTAATCAGGGAATGAATAAGTTTTACTGAATCAAACGTAAACAAAATTTCATATTTAATTTATAAATTTGATCCCAAGGGGTTGGGAATAAAATCATTAGATATAAACCACATGATCAAATTTAATTTATATATCACTAATTGTGAATACTAATTTAATCATGGTTTTACAGTCTCTCAATACTTGCTGCAAATGAGATTTATATAAAAATCTCCGTCCAAAAGGTGAATTGGAATACATTTTACTCATGGCTTAGAACACTCCTCTAAATTATGTTAAATATTTAAAATTTTATAAAATAGGAATATTGTAAAATATTCTTTGAACAATGTTAATATGCAACAATGTGCACCCCTCTCTAAATTATTCTTTTAGAATCCTCCATGAGAAAATGAGAAGAATTGTTCTCTCAATTTTAAACATGTAAGAATCTGCAATCACAAATATCAAAATCTTTTATAAATTTAGTATGGTTAACAATATTTTTGTAGAACTAAAATTTGCAACCTTGAAGAAATTTAATTTATGTAGCCCGTCAACAAAAAAATCCAAGGTGGAATTATGAAACCTTTATTAAATTCAAAACAATATAAGGATTAATAGATATTTAGACATTAAAATATTAACAATTATAGAATCTATTGCATTTTTATTGTCATTTCATACATTTTTTTTTTCTATTGTCATTTCATACATTGACTCGCTTTTCTTTTTAAGCCAAACTCTACACTCGCGAAATTCTTGGCATGCCCCCTTCTTCTTTTTACTAATTTATTAGGATTATTTCATATATTCAAAACTTAACATGAAAAGTGAGGTAATTTATTACGATTATTTCATATATTTATTTTTTTCCCCTAGTCCGTTTATACAATTTTTTTTTTACTATGCATGTCATGGACACTGCAACTATTTTACCATGCATAGTTGAAAATATAAAAGAATAAGATTCCGTTTGTTTCGACGTAAAATATTTTTACTTTGTCGGTATTTGACAAAGGTCTATGTCGTGGTTGAGGTCAAGTTCATTGGACAGAACATATAAAATAATTTGCCAAAAATTTATGGATAAATTATTTTTATTAAATTTATATATAGTTTTCTTCGTAAATATTTTATGACAATCAAACACCAGAAAATAAAAAAAAATAATTAAAAAAAATCAAAAAAATATTTTACGTCCAAACAAATGTAGCCTAATGCTATGTTTGGTTGGAGGGAAGGATTGAAGGGGATGGATGAGAGGAGGAATGGATAAATATTTTCGTATTTGGTTGGAGGGAAGGGAAGAGAGGGAGGAAACAAGGAGGGATGAAGCATCCCTTCTTCTTTTTTGTTTTTCTATTCGCCCACTTTTGGGAGAAAGAGAGGAGAGAAAGAATGCATAACTACCTATAGATTTATAATTTACAATTTGAACCTTTTCAAAAATTTTGAAATAAATATCTACCTTTTATAATTTTATATAAAAGGGTGTATTAGTAAAAATAATACAATAACTCTCATTCCCTTTCTTCCAACCAAACAAGAAAAAAATATTACTCCATTCATCATTTCTACTATCAATTCCATTCAACTAAACATAAAATGGGAAAGACACCCCCCCTTTTCTAGGGATATCTCATCCATCCCTCTCCTTATCTTTTCTATCCATTTTTTCATCCCTTCAACCAAACGAAGCATAAGTACAGAAAATATTCCTAAAATATACTATGCATAATACTTTTACCTTTTACTTGAAAAAGTATGTAAAAAATATCCATAATTTTTTTCACATTATGCAAAAATACCCTTCAATAAGAAATTTGACATAAATTAGTGTTGTAATACCTGTTTTGTCCTTTTAATCTTCCGAAAATGCTCAAGGGGTATATATGCTACTAATCTCATAGTACATTGGTGTTATGTACACATTACTTTATATACATTTATATTTTTTTGAAACTTTTTTCTCTATATATGTCTTCTTCTTTTTCTTTCTTTTTTTTAACTTTGAAAATTTGCAGAACAAGAATTTGAAAATTTTGAGATTTCAGTTTACTGTTTTTTACTATTTTTTTTTTTTTTTGGTACCAATATTGGTTTTCATAATTTGGAGCAAATATGTTTTCTTTAGATTGCACTTTATTTTCGTTTTTTATTTTTTATTTTTTATTTTTATCTTTACAAAGGCAAAAATATAAGAAGTAAAGGCACACTTAATTGCATGAAAAATATACGAGAAACACTTGTTTATAGCGTGCAATTGCCTCACTAGACGAATAAAGAAATTGGAAGTTGATGAATCATTTACCTGATGCCAACAGTGAGAGGTGATTCAGGTGGAGCAAAGACTGAAATGTTAAGGACTTGCACATTACTGCATATCCAGATAATGATTAATTCATTTGATAATGCTCAGGATGTTATATTAGGAAATTGATTCAAATAACTTTTTAAAAAAAAGTTAAAAATTATACTTAGAAACCATTAATTAAGGTTCAGTAGTATACCTGCAATAGACTGGAGGAGTACGGATGGATATGATATGCAGGGGCATTCAAAAAAGAAGGGTTTGACACTACAATATCGTTGGAAGCAATAAATTCAACAAGATGAGGGCGACTGTAGTTCAAGTCCGTCAATGGTTCCATTATCACCTAGTACAGTGAGGGGTGGAGTCATGATTTAAATTCAAGGGACACATTATCAATAAAAAAAATAAATAAATAAACAAGAAGTAAAAGAAAGAAAAATAAATAAATAAATTAGAATATGATTGAATAAGAAATTTTTTTGACTTTTAAAAAAAAGTAAATTAAAGAAATTTAAAGAGTAACTGAGGAAAAAAAAAAGAAGAAAAAGTTAAAAAGAGAATTTTGGAAACTTAATATTTTTAAGGGGGCATAATATACAAATTTCTCTATATATATAAAAATAATTTTAAAAATTCATATATTATATATGGCGGGGCCAAGCCAGGGGGCATGCGCCCCCTAGGCATATGCTGGCTCTACCCCTGTAGAGTCAATGCATTCATTCATAACACTTGCAGTAAAATAAATAAACAAACCAACCCATTTCCAAAATTGAGAAACATCTCTGTAATCGCCGTTTAGGCTGTTTCACCGTTGAGCACAGCCTTGCTCACTAGCATCGCCAACGTTGCTGCTCTGTGTAAGCTCCTTCATGCTAACATCACAGTTTCGAGGACACCGTCTTCCCGTCCAATCATCACGGCTATTTTAACTCACCACCGCCGCTTCCTGCCATTCTTTGCAGCAGTTCCGATAGCTCGTGGTCTTGTTTTCCGCTCTGTTTCCTCTATCATTGCCATCAACAATCCTTTCCTGCCCGTCAGAATTGTGACTGTTACAGTCATTGTTCACTCCTTGCAAGGCGGTGGGTCCTTGTTTCACCGCCGTATAGTCCTTTCATTCTCGCCCACTTCAGAATATCCCTGGTTGCCGTTCTTCATTGTCGTCCTCCATTATTGGCGTTCTCTAACCGCATTCTTGATCCTCGGTATGTTCATTACTAGCATTGTCATTTTACAAAATTATTTATTTTTATATATTTTATAAAATAGTTCAGTAAGAATAATTTAATCAACTTAGGGTTTAAATTTGTCAGAGTAACTTATTTGTAACAAATTAAAACTTTAAAAATATTTTTTTCACGTGTTAAAATCCTCTAGTTCTCACTCTAATTTTCCTTTTTCTATTTTCTCCCTCTCTAAAAATTAGAACATCTCCATTGTTCATGTGATTTGCTAATACTTTTTCAATTGGGCTAAAACACTGTTTTGGGTCAAAATTAAAAACAAAAAGAAAACAGAGGGGCGCCCGCGGCTCGCTAAGAGGGTTGTTAAAAACCACGACACATTGACATGACCCAAATTTGACGACCCACAATAGAGCAAATTGGGTCGCCAAAATTGTCCAAATCGTCGGATTGGGCTGGCGCTGGAGTTGTACTTAATAAACGGAGAGCCAAGTATATTTGAAGACTGTCAGTATGATGACCCTAATTTTTTTGACCTTTATCATTGTCTTTTTGACCTTTATTATTGTTAATTTTATAGGGTAAGAGACGGAAGATATTGCCTATAGTTTTCAGTCGCAGTTTCATGTGCAACTAAATATTGGCTTAATTAGTGAGAATCAATTATTGCAGCTAGTGAATATTTTTCCACCTTGCATACATAGCCCAAAATGCAATAATACATTTTTTTTTGCAAAATAATTCAATAGAAAATGAATTTTTAGTGAATTGTGATTATTATTATTGAATATATTTAATAATATTTGACATTCTATAAGTAATGACTTACAACATGGTTGTTAAAGATGGGCCTAATATTTAAAAAAGTCTCCGTCAAGGTATAATTGAAGTGTCTTAATCTATTACAGTCCATACTCCTTCGATCAGGCTTAGGCTTCAGAATAAAAAAGGCATGCGTTTGTATATTTTAATAATTTTTTTATATTTAATGACTACTAAATTAAAATATTCTATATCATATATCATACAATAATTTTTTTATATTTAATGACTACTAAATTAAAATATTCTATATCATATATCATACAATAGTAGTTAACCTTACAAAATATTTGATTTTTTTATAATAAATTTATGGTTCAAAAAATGGTTAACAATTATTATTATTTTTAATCAAATAATGAAAATAATAGATTGAAGTATCAAAATGAAAATTCATACCTTAATGTGAGAAGTAAAAAGCATAAAATAGAAAAATAATTATAAAATTTAAAACAAAATTTTAAAAGGCAATACAAATCAAATAATAAAAGAGTATTAATTGAAAGATTTTTCTACAAAAGTAGTACTACTACGTATAAAATTGTTCACTAGTTTTTATTTTTTTTATATTTATTTTTATAAATTGTTCGCTGGTTTTTTTTTTGGAAATTCAAGCAACTGATATTTATATAGAAAAGTGTACATGGAAGGCCTTAGGCCAAAGTACAAAACAGGCCCAGTGGGCAGCAATGAAGCAACAAGGAACAAGCCAACCCAAACAAAAACAGATACCGACATTAACGGCTTGTTAGCCGATAATAAGGGACCTGCTAAACACTCCGGTGATGAACCCTAATGAGAAAGTTCCGCGAAGAAGGTAGAGCTCAATCCGGCGGCCGGCGTGGAGGACGGCAATGCGAGGAGAGACGTTCCAGTCTCTGAGAATCCTCCTCGAAGCTGAGCTCTCTTTAAGGAAACCAAGCTTGAGAATTGCGGTTACAGTGGAGCAAACCTTTGCACAGAGTACTGTCTGCGAGATCTTCTCCCCCCGATAAATTTGTGCGTTTCTCTCTTCCCAAGAATGATATACAAGTGAGGAGAGGCATAATTTGCGGAGACAATTGTTCGCTAGTTGATTTCTAGGGCGAGGTTCCGTCTTCAAAGCTTGCATTAAAAGCATATATGTAAGTTTGGATTATAGGTTGATCCCGCTGCAATCTTCTCACAGATCGACTTCACTCTTTCTTGCTGGTATGCGTCCTCTCTCTCTATATGCTTGTACACATGTTCATATGTAGTATGTATATACACATTTTCTTTCGAATTTTTATGTGCATGATAAATACATACTTCGGATTGTAGGGTTTTGGAATTTAATGAATGATTGGACAGTGGAATTATTTTCTAGATTTAGTTTGGAGTGACGAAATTGGAAGGAAAAGAAAATAAAAGTATTGATGAAATTGGAGGGAAAAGAAAGGGAGGGATAGTTATTTTCGTTAGATACAACGGCAGCCCATCCTCACGCCCCGGCGATTTCTCTTCTACAGTTCCAGCGTTACTCCAGCTATGGCGTCATTTCTTCAATTTTTTGTAGAAAACCCAAAATTTGTTGTTTGGATCAAAAAGATCATACTACGTTTGATATTTTGCTAAAATTTGGAGAGCCGTTTGGAGAAAGCCCGAGAATTGAAGCTCATACACGTAAGATATCGAAGCTTTCTTTTGGGTTTTTGCTCAAAGTTCAGATTTTGGTTGATCTTGAGCCATACTTCAGATTTGATTGATCTTGAGCCATATTTTCGTTATATTGCAACCCATTTGATAAAAAGAGTTGATAATTGTATCTTTGATTTGATGGGAAATTGTCGTGTGACACCATCTGTAAGAAGAAAAAGTCGTAAGCACAAACCAAATCCATTTGTTCGACTATGGTGCGAACCATAAATTACATCTGAGAATGGTGGATACAAGTCCTACGTATTGGACAACCCAACTGGTCATGAAAATGAGCGGACGTAGGAATTGGGTCGTGAGCTTGGTTGTGGCGAATTCGGGTTACATAAGTGTTTGCTTGTAAGTCAATATCAAAGAAGCAGCTAAAGACCCGAACAATACAAACAATAAAACCTCATCTCTAAGGATACCAAGAACAGATCTCAAGCCATGTATACATGGCAATTGCATAAATTGAGGCTGCAAAATACAATTTTTTAGTTCATTCAAACATGAATTAGAAGGCCGTGCTAGAATTAGTTAAAAGTTATTTTACTTCTTATCCATCCGTACTAGTGGGTGGCTAGCTGAAAAAAATACATTACTACTTGTGCATACCATTGAGTGTTGATTCCCAGCTGCAAGGGTACTCAAACTCTTGATTCTTGCTACTATTGGGAAAATTAAGTCCATACTAGTTTTGTCTTTTGTAAGGACAAACAACAAGTGCAACACTTCTCAGTGCTAGCAATTCACCCAGAATAGCTTAGATTGCTATCGTCTATTACATAAATTTTCTTGTTTATGTATGTTTGTACATGTATAGCCAGAAAAAAGATGTAATGCACCTCATTCAGTTGAAATTTAAATATAGAAGGGTATGGCAGTAAATTCCATAAAATAGTTTCCTTTTTTTTTTTTTTTTTTCCCCCTATAATCCTGCATTTGTATTGTTTGTTTTTCCTTTTGGTTTGTACTAAAACCTGCAAATTTGAATTCTTTAATGATAGATGGTAATTTATCAGTTTTTTTTTTTTTTTTTTTTTTTTTTTTTTTTTTTTTTCATAATTAATTTATCAGATTCTATATCTCGAGACTTGACTTCTATTTGAAATATATATATATATATTAATTCTACATTTATTTTATTTTTAATTTGTGCTAAATGTTTTGCAATTATGATTACTCATTTCCTCAAAAAGGGAATTCCCGAATTATGTCTTTATGCCTGCATAAACCATTTGCATTCTATTTCAATGTACTTTATTCATTACATTGTGATGATCATGGCGCTGGCATTTATTTTTGAATACTTGGTGGTTAGTTTATAGATTGACAAGTGTATTAAACTAGAATCTGTTAATAAGTTTTTTGAGATCAGTGACTTGCATGTTCTCACAACACCTCAGGGAATATAGGGTCCTAACATTTCTTTTTTAGTCATCTTTCACCTTTAATATCTTATGTTCAACATTTAACTGCAAATCAAGAGACCCCCATATGATATAAAAAATTTATTGCTTTTGCACATTTGGGGTTTAAGAAATAATTCTGTTAAAGGTTTTCATTTTACAATGGACGATGTGATTGTTTGTTCCAACACCGATAAATACTGGGGATAGACAAATGAAGGAAACATATATAGACATAGAGGAGGACGAATATACTATATTATCGTTTCCTATGAGTGTTTCAGTGATTCTCTGATGGGTCTTTTAGTCAACTGTTGACCTTCTGACTTATCTCTATGAATTCTCCTTGTTTGCAGAATAATAGTGGAGAATCCTGGCATAGTTATTACACATATGGCATGAGGGTGGAAGGGGAGGAGGCCTCGCCCAGGAATATTAGGAACCAGATTAAGAAAAACAGGAGTATGAGACCAAGGCTTCATAGGAGGGAGGTAAGTGCATGGACGCGGTGCATAATAAATAGGGTGGAGGTTAGTTTCAAATCAAGTAAAGAAGTAAGAAAAGGAAAGATAAGAAGGAACAAGATGTTTGTAATGATGATGTTCATCATTGTGGGTATCATGAAAAAGATGGAGATGTATAGAAACTAGCTGTTTTTTTTTTGGTATTTTTTTTTTTAAATTTTTTGTTATTTATCCATTTTATATTATATATTAAAAAGTTGGTTGGCAAAATTTTGCCTGTTGCTTTTGGTTATAGAATTTATCTGGGTTGTTTTTAGATGAATGGATATGACCATGTTTCACCATATTGCTCCTAGTATTGTTAGATTGGTGTTTTACACTTTTAGATGCGACTTTATCAAATAGCTCCAACAAAGCACTGAATTTTGTAGAAATCTCCATATCATTTACAAATAGTGAATATTTGTTGTAGTTCTGAGATCTTGTGGACAATTTTTGATCGTCAATATTATGTAAAGGAATTTCTAAATGGGCCTTTAGTGACAGATCAGCAGTCAATGATTTTTAGCATCTGCTGGTTCATGCCTCTTATTTTTGTATTCTGATACAAAATTTTGAATGTTCATAATGCAATATTCCCATAGTGATCTCAGTGTTCATTATCCTGTAAAATGGGATTTTGTTTTTGTTTTTTACATTAAGGTGTTTCGATTGAGTGTATAACTTATTTTTCCCTTCTTTTTTTCCCCAGGATTTAACTGAACTTATTATTTGTAATCTGAATTCTTATCAACAATACTTATTTTTGCTTTGGTGATCCATTGACGTTGGTATCTTCTCTAAGTTGTGATTAGCAGCTACCTCACTACTATATCTGGACTTGCATTTGTTAGCATCAATATACTTCTTTAATTTAATTAATATTACATCAATTAATGTACTTCTGTTTTACAATTTCTATCAACTATTGGTAATTTTCTTGGGTTACCTTGATAGTTTGTCATGTTGCGTTGTCGGGTTAATGCCGATTATCTCCTAAACAGAACTTTTATTCTAATTGCAGGTGTGAAGATATCAAATACCATGGGTGATTGTACAAAACACAGAATTTTGATGGTGTCTGATTTTTTCTATCCCAACTTTGGGGGTGTCGAGAATCACATTTATTATCTATCACAATGCTTGCTCAAGCTTGGCCACAAGGTCATAGAATGCATTTAGTTTGTTGATTGAACTCCTTGCCTTGTAGCCTTTTCTACCAATTAGCGACTACTGTAGCATGCAATAATTATCCTTAGATGTTTAGAAATGGTTTATTTCTTGTGTTTAAGGAAGAATTTGAATACAGTTTTTACAGATAATTATCCTTTTGTGTTCCGAATGTGGATTGTTTAGAAAGTAAGTAACTTTCTCTAACATGTTTTGGAAAATATAACATTGTTACAGAGGAGCATGTATTAACTTATTTCATTTCTTTGTTTTTTTTTCCCTTTTAAAAATTATCCTTTTTAAATCTTACTCTTAATATATTTTTAGAAACAAGATAAATTTTAGAGTAAATTGCCGCAATTATCAGATTTATTTTGTTTGCTTTTGGCTGTTGTTTGTTAAACAGACTTTTGTTTTATGATGCCTCAGGTGGTTGTTATGACTCATGCTTATGGAAATCGTTCCGGGGTTAGATATATGACACATGGCCTCAAAGTCTATTATGTACCCTGGAAACCATTTCTTATGCAGAACACCTTGCCCACCATTTATGGGACGCTTCCAATTATAAGGACAATTCTCATTCGGGAAAAGATATCTTTGGTGCATGGACATCAAGCCTTCTCAACTCTTTGTCATGAAGCTTTGATGCACGCACGCACGATGGGATATAAAGTTGTATTTACTGACCATTCACTGTATGGTTTTGCTGATGTGGGTAGCATTCACATGAACAAGGTTCTGCAATTTGCTCTAGCAGATGTGACTCAGGCTATTTGTGTTTCTCATACAAGTAAGGAAAACACAGTCTTAAGGTCAGGGTTGCCGCCAGAAAAGGTTTTTGTTATACCAAATGCGGTGGACACAGCTATGTTCAAGCCTGCCCCAGAGCGACTCAGCAATAATGAAATTGTTGTAGTTGTGATAAGTAGATTGGTTTATCGGAAGGGTGCAGATCTGCTCGTCGAAGTCATTCCCGAAGTGTGCAGTTTGTATCCGAATGTGAGTTTTTCCGACCACTAGAATGCTTTTATATAGTTTTGAATATTATCAGCATAATCCCATTTGAACAACATATTGACATACAGGATTCTCTCACTCTTCTTATTTCTTCCATTTTTCTTTTTCTTTGGGGTGGGGTGTGTGTGTGTGAGGATTTGATGTTATACAATATCCTAGATATATTCTTGTCAGAGTTATGATTGATTTTTTCAGGGCTAATCTTAAAGGAATTATTAATTTCTGTACTGGCAATTGTGCCTTGTGGATTCATTTAAAAACAGATTGTTCAGAAAGGCCTTAGGGGTTAACCAAAAAGTGATATAGGTTCTTGGTAGTTTATATATGTATTTTATGTTTCATGTTACCTTTGGAAGTTTAGAAATATTTCCCAAAATGTATTTTATATGCTCAGAAAACTATTTTACCTTGCTAACGTGATGCACTAATTATGTACCCTCTCTATGAATTGTTCTAGTGTGCACCAAAATCTATTTTGTTATTTCCAAGAGTTTCTCAGCAGATATGACATTTTCTAAATGTTTTACAAAAGTTTATATTTACCTCATCTATACAGGTAGAAATTATTTCTCCTTCTGCTCATCTCTTCATCCGCCTTTGGGGGTAGCTACGCTAACGCTGTTCCAGAGGCCACTAAATGCACTTTATGTTAATAATTTTTATCTTGGCAATTCGATATTTCTGATTACATTGACTTGTGAAACCTTGACATTTAAGGTGCTGCCATTTAAGTGATAAACATATAGGCATCAGATTACATTTTATTTGATGGTTTAAAATTATCCTGGAATCTTTTTGAAGACTAATACCAACTTGTAACATAACATATTCGTAATTATTACCACCCTTTTATTTATTTATTTCTATCATCTCATCTGGAATAATGTATGAAGGTTCGTTTCATTGTTGGAGGAGATGGGCCTAAAAGAGTGCGTCTGGAAGAGATGAGGGAAAAACACTCTCTTCAAGATCGAGTTGAAATGTTAGGTGCTGTTCCCCATGCTAAAGTACGGTCTGTCTTGATTTCTGGCCATATATTCCTAAACAGGTATAGACAACTCATTTCATTTTAGTAAGATTTCGTTTTCTAAAATTTCTGTAGTTTGATCAACTCACTAGAAATTTTAACTCTAAACTTCTTCTGGTTATTTGATGTAGTCTAGGTATGGCTAATGTTCCGTTTGGTATGAAGGATGAAAAAATGTAGGGAAGGGATGGGAGGAAGGATTGAAGAGGCATCCCTAGGGGAGGGAGGGTATTTATCATTCTTTTTGTTTGGTTGAGTGGAAGGCAAGGACAAAGGTCATATTATCATTGCAGTTTACCCTTTAAGGATTTAAATTAAAACACTTAAATGAGGGTGATAAAGTCTTTTCGATTTTTTCCAACAAATATTCATTCCATTTCTCTCGTCTTCTTCCCACTTTTGGATGGAAGCAAAATGGTTGATCCAGAGGGATGTTTCATCCCTCCTCCCATCCGTCTCCCCCCTCTACCAAACAAGAGAAGCTTGCTCCATTCCTCCTCTTTTTCATCTCTCCCCCCTTCATTCCCTCCAATTAAATGTAGGGTAGGTTCCATTATGGATGTTTCTTTTATATTTCCTTATCATTCAGGACATAATGATAGTTGAGAGCCTAAGGTACTTGAGATATCTCTTCACCTGCACTAATACGTCCTGATATAAATAAGTATGGAGTTCATACCAAAAACTGAAAATGTGTAGCACTTCACTATATATGAATAAGATGGAACTCCCTTATCAATTATAAATATTAAAGGGTGCTTTCTACTATTTTGTGTCAAATTCGCTTGAAAAACAAGAAGAAATATTTGTTCTCTTTTCTATTTGAAGCAATCTTCCTATCAGCAGCAGAGCTAGGTATTTGCTCTCATGGGTGTTGAGCATGGTTCAAATGGACAAGAAAATCCCAGCTAAGGAAGAAAGTGAACATGATTTCATGGAACCTGGAAACCCTTAGAGACTTATAAAATATTTACAAATGAATTCAAAATTTTTGCAGAATTTTCACTACCATTTTATTGAAAATAAAAGATATTCATAATCTCACATTTTTCAAAGAGAACTTCTTTCAGTTTTTACCTGTTCTCTAAAATCTATCTTTTGCAGTTCTTTAACAGAAGCATTTTGCATAGCCATATTGGAGGCTGCTAGTTGTGGATTATTAACAGTCAGTACACGCGTTGGTGGTGTCCCAGAGGCACGTGTATCAAAAGATTTTTTATCTACCTGGTTAATTTGATAAAACTTGCCTGTTTGAGTCTCAACTGAGGAATATGATATTTATTTGCTTCAATTAAAATTTTCAGAATTTCCTGATTTAGCATTTTTTTTATTTCTTTTAGTCATTCTCCTCTCTCATCAGGTTTTACCAGATGATATGATTGTCCTTGCGGAACCAGATCCTGGTGATATGATACAAGCAATCAGGAAAGCATTAACCATACTTCCCCAGATTGATCCTCAAGACATGCATCTTCGTGTAAGTGAAATCTCTAAAATGTGTTTTCTTTTCTTAAATATGCTGCTCAATTATTTACCAAGTACACACACACACACACACATAAATATATATGCTGCTCAATTGTGTTTGTCTTTGTTTTTTTATATATGCTGCCAGATGAAAAAATTGTACAGTTGGCATGATGTTGCCAAAAGGACGGAGATAGTGTATGACCGTGCTTTGAACTGCTCCAATCCGAATCTTTTAGAACGACTCCCGCGGTATGCTCTGAAGAATTTATGTTTAATTTTTTCTTTCTTGTCACCTTAATAAATGAAATCTGATTAGGTGGTTGTGGAACCTTTACTATGATTGTAAGCTTAAGTTCTTTAGTAAACAAGTGCAATATATTTGATGCAATGAGCAGTTTGTGTAGACCATCTTTAATAGTGATTATGCCTTTTCTTTAAACACACAATTCTACATTTGGTGATGATACATGGTTATATTGTTCATGTGGTACTGTAACTGTTCAAAATTTTTAGCTTCAACCAAATGACATGTTGTGAGTTTTACTTTTATGTTTATTAAATTGTGAGGTAAAGGGATAAAACTTAGATTAGATAGTATTGTTTATATCTGAAAAGTAATTAGGTTAATATTTAGTCATTACCTGGGGTATCTTTTTAATGTTTTATTATTTTGTTTATTTTAAGACCAGTATTATTTAGGTAGGCTGCATGTGTAATCAGGAGCACATTTCAGGATATTTAATTTTTCAAATTCCACCTTAGATAATAAAATTAGTTTGACAGTAGGGAATTTTACATAGATGCCTTGAAGCAGTTTCAAGCTTTGCTGACAACTAAGTGTGTTGTTAGGTATCTTACATGTGGTGCTTGGGCAGGCAAGCTTTTCTGCTTGGTTATGCTTATTGATTTTTTGTTTTGGAGGCTATTACAATTATTGCAGGTACATTTTTTTTTGGTTATATTCTAATTTAGCCACTGGTTTCACATCTTAGTTGTAACAATTTTCTGTTGGTCCTCCACATGGTATTGTGTTTTCATGTTGGTAACTGTTGCAGTTTTTCTTAGCCTGCAGTGAATATCGAAGAGGTACCAGATATTAATTTGCCAATTTGTCAACATGAAAGAGATGTCATGGAATTTCAATGAGGAACAAAGCTTGAAATGATAATTAGGGTTCGAACGTCGCTTATTTTAAATTGGGAGCCATTTAGTGGATGGAGGTAGTATTTAATTTGATCTATCAATTTCATCCTGTATGTATATAGGTACTATTCAATAGTTTCAGAAGGAAGTTCCAGACACAATTAATGCCTCTCTAACATCTGTTGTTGCCCATTTGCAATTATGCTTTCATGCTACCCTGCTGCCAAAATTGATGGTAAGCCTTGGCTTCCTGGAAAGGGAATAACATAACCACAGGTGTACCAGGAGATATTTTTAAATATTTTTTTTTTAATAAATGGATCGATCGTATATAAAGTACAGGAATTTATATACAGGAATAATGTTTTCTTACGGTGGTCCTTATTTGTCCAATCGCTCTCTCATTTTGTAGGAACCTGGGCGAGAATTAGAGTGTCATTGTAAAGAATTTAAAGCTTCAGCTACTCGAGGCAGGAACAGAGGTTAATTTTCATGACAATTTATCTCAGTTATTAGCAGAAAGCAAGACAAGATAAGTGACTTTTGGGTAAACATTGGCAACACAATGTGTGCGTAGCGAGCAATTATATTATGTTGGAGAAACTAGACCTTGTTATTGTGTTTCCTAAATCATTTTTGTTGTAGTTAAAATTACTTTGACACCATGAAGACTATGGTCAAGGCAAACAATGTCTTGTCAATTGTCATTGTACTGTGATATGAGCTTAGCAGTCACTGACTCACTGTGGTGTCCAACTGTTGAAGAATAGTTACGTGTCTCTTAATCTTTACCGGCCTCAGAAAATTGAAGTCCTTTATTTTGTTTTTTCTCTAAACGAAAGGAGATTTTTGTCTAGGACCTTAAAACTATTTTAGGCTTCGGATTTTGTTTGATATGTGGGATTGTTTTCCCCAATTTTATTGGCTGAGCATCCTATTAATCTCACTCATTGTGCATAATTTTATTGTTCTATGTTTTGAAAGTTCAAGTAAATTCGCGCTCACACAGGCTTCGGAGAGGTCATACCGGCTCAACGACATAATGCGTTGATGCATGACTAATCATGCTTGCTCAGACTCTGGAAAGATTTTTCAGAGTGTCCTGGTCGGCAAAAATGTTTTTGTAAGTTTAAAACCCTTTTTAGCATATTTTGTTTATAAAAAAATTCTAAAAATTATTAGGATTCAATTTTGGTCACTTTCTCAAAAATATATTGATATATGTGATTTTCAACTCACTCTAATGGTAAAATATCTTCTCCTTCAAAGGGAAGGTGAATGTGCATCATGAGAAGCTTGCCTTATGGCAAAAAATAAAAAAAAAAAAAAAAATCCTTGAGCAATTTTAAAAGATAAATCAAATTCCTCAAAAGAGAAGCTAGAGAGAATTATATAACTCAATTTGACATTTTCTAAACGAAATTTGCCAATAAAACTTTTATTATACCAATGTATAGCCACTCTCTTTCATTGCCTGGTATTTTATTAATTAAGGTGTCAAATTTACTCTATAGGGTAAAGATGATGAAGGATTTGTATATTTTTTTTATTCAATTAATTTTGACAAGTAATTTAAAATGATTTGTAAAAAGTAACTCGTCCGTTTGGTTTGATATAATTTTATGATAAAAAAAAAGGTGAAAGAAAGTGAAGTGAAAGAAAGGAAAATCAAAATTTTATGATGCATTAACATGAAAGTTTTGAAAAAAATATTATTTTGTTAGTTTGGGTAAGATGAAAGTCAAAAGAAAATAATTCTACTTCACAAAACTACCTTTATATCTATTGAAATTTTAAAAATAAACATTGTGCAATGGGTGATGGGTGATGTAAAAAAATATAAAATAAAATAAGGCAATCAATTTTTAAAAGTTGAATTTTACATAATTAGAGAGCACACACTCAACCAAGTATTAATATTTTTTATCTTTTATATTTGAATCACTATTTACTTCTATACAAGGTTAAGGGTTAGTAAATTATATTAAAAAAAATACCACCTCTTCTATATTATGTGAAAAAAAAGGGAAGAAGATTGTTTCATAAAATTGCTCACAAGTCACAACTAACGAAGGATAAGAGAGTTACCAAAAACAAAAACAAAAAAATAAAAAAAAGGGACTTCGTCCCGGGAAAATAATATTTTGCGTGTTTTATATTTTGCGTGTTTTGTGAGTGAATAGTTTTGAAGAAAAATAGGTAATAGGGGAAACCAAATTTTCTCTTCCCTTTATTTTTCTTTCCATCCAAACTCCAAAAAAGCTTAAATATTTTTCTTTCCAATTCCAAAAAAGCTTAAATTTTTTTTCTTTCCTTTTTTTTTTTTTTTTTAGTCGAATGTAACTAATCAAACAAAACCTACTAGATTCTTCGACTCAATGGTGTTGAACTCCTCTTCTATTTGATGTTTCACACGCTTAAATCGACCATATATTTAAAGTTTGAAGTTTAAATTTTAAACCTATTAAAAAATAAAAAAATGGAAAGTAAACCCTTTTAAAATCTCCTCTCTTGTTTGGGAACAACCAAAAATGTAAAATCTGTTCCATTGAAAGTCGAAACCCCCTCTTTGATTCCTCTCTCTCTCTCTCTCTCTATCTCTGTGCATAAACCCAAGAAACCTCTCTCTTATTCTCTCTCTCCATAAACCCTAGAAACCGCTCTGGATATCTATTTTTCTCTTTCAGCACTCATGGAATGGGAAACAATAGGCTTGGAATCACCATCAACATCAACAACTCAGCAGCAACCGAGCCGAGTTTCCACGAGTCAACTCGCTCCCTACTCGTCCACAACTCGTGATCTCCTCTCTCCATGCCCTTCGTCTTCGAAAAAGAAAGATCGGCACAGAAAGGTGAACGGAAGAGGCCGGCGGGTCCGAGTCCCGGCCTTGTGCGCCGCCCGAATCTTCCAACTCACACGCGAACTCGGCCACCGCACCGAGGGAGAAACCATCGACTGGCTCCTCCGCCACGTTCCTCCCTCCCACTTCCCCTCTTCCTCCGCTCCTCCAAGCAACACCGCCGCCTCCGCGCCTTCTCATTCGGAATCTCCGATGACTCCTTACTTTGCTCCGCCGATTACGGCGGTCACGGGGAACGATTGTTTACCGGAACTCCTCCTGTTCCCAGCGGAGAGTGAGAGTGCGTTCCCGAACATGTCATTCACGTCGTTGTTGATGGAAGGAGGAGGAGAAATTGAAGATCAGTTGAGGAGAGAGAAAGTGAACGATGATGCTTATTCTCAGCGATCAATAGATACGGACTACTCTAGTTTCTTTTGAATTTAACGAATGTGAAATCTGTTTCGGATTATTGGAATGGGACCCGATGTTTGTTTCTTGTTTTGGTTGGGGCCACATAGTAGTATGTATGTGTGTATACACAATGTTGGGACTTTATGGTAGATCATGGCAATGAATAGCCATACTTGTGTTTTTTTTTTTTTTTTCCTTGGCCTCGTGGAGAATTGACCATTGTTTTAGGATAAGAAATGCCAAGCTGAATTTGATCATCATTAATTATGTATCCAATGAATTACTAATTTGCATTATTTTACCACTTCATTCATAATATGATCGCATTGATTCACTTTCACGGAGATTGTCTCAAAACACTTTACATTATTTTACCACTTTAATATTCTCAAAATACTTTACTTATTTCACACTTTGATCATATTGACAAAGAGGTGATAGTCTCAAAATACTTTACATTATTTCACTACTTTACTCTTTGATGATGACTAAATTTTTTTTTTTTTTTTTAAAAAAACTTTTAAATAATATTTTAAAATTAAACATTATATTTTTAAAACTTGTAACATTTTTTTACTAAAAATATTTTTATATTTTTACTTTAAAAAATCTTGTCATAAATGAACGAATTGTTGTTAATTTCACAAAGAGCTCATACTTTTATGTAATTGTTTATTTATTTATTTCAGGATGGGAAGATTTCATTAGGGTGGAACTGTAAAGAGCAGAAGAGGAAGGGTTACATTTCTTTCCACACTACACAAGTGAAAGCTGAGAGAGGGATAGAAGAAAAGATAGGAACCGTATCATGATGGGTACAGATTAGAATGAGCCATTGAACCTTATGACATAGTAGCACCATGTTTAACTTAAAAATCAACCTTCAAATATCTACTTTTTGATTCAGAACCAACTTTACACTTAAATGGTAATTTCTTATTTCTTTTAAAAAAATCAACAGAGTAAGTGGTTGTCGAAAGCTTGTTACTTAAACAGAGTGTTAAGGTACCGGAAAATGTCGTTTTTGGTCATCTTAAAAGATGAAGTTGTAAGGAAATCCAATAAAAATGAAGGCTATTCTCGTTATTTCATAGATCCTACTTTCAAAATTTGTTGGCTGAAACTTCTATTTGCTTGCAACTCCTGTGCACTCTCTCTCTCTTTCAAAGACACTAAAAGGCTACTGTAGTCATTTCAAATCCTTGTTTTTCATGTTTTTCTGTTCTATATGAGACTGATCATCAATTCTTTGCCCTTCTCAAAATTTTCATTTTCGTGTATTATCCTTTCAATCTGGCCACACCACACCACACCACACCACAAGCCAAACCCTCAAATCTTAAAAGCAGCGTAAAATTGTTTGGGAGTAGTTGTTATCCAAAATAATGTCTAAGTATACCATATATTATAGTATTATTATTTAAATATTGTGTTAAATTATAATGTGTGTGTGTGTGTATATATATATATATAACAATAATTGTAAAACAATAATCTATATATATATAATTATAAAATATAGTTATAAGAAATAAAATAAAAACTATAAAAAATAAAAGAACCTCATTAAAAAGTCAAGCCTAAAATTTGATTTTATATCCTTAAGACAAATTTGCCCCGCTATGGTGCTAACGGATTCAGTGGCGTCTATCTCCTAGGATACAACGACTTATCTTCCTTCGATGGTAGCACTGCAAACCGAAGAAATCGACGAACTGGCTCAGTGTAGTACTCTTTGACTCGAATTCGGACTCGAACTCATTGACTAAGGCTCGAAGCGACAGACTAAAGCTCGAACCTACGAGATTAAGACTCAAACCCACAGATTAAAGCTCTGTATGCAAGATGAGAGAAGAGGAGAAAATTCAGAATCAGAGAAAAATGATTTTGAATTTTGGTGTGAATTGCAAATGATCCAAATGAGGTATTTATAGGCAGCAAGGTGCCTATTTGGGTGGGTGCAACCATGGGTCACAATGGTTCAGAACCAGGTGCACCATTTGGAAAAAAAAAAAAAGAAAATTGTTTTCTGGTTTTAATTTAAATTCAAAATACCATAAAACTGTTTTTAATCCATTTATGAAATCCATCAAACATGTCCAATTTCGCCCATTTGAATAAGCGCAGCAAAAAATAAAATCCAGCACAGGCCTAATTTTGTTTAATTAAATGGATTTTATAATTAAGCCCAAGCCCAAACAGCAGGGCTCGCACGTGTGGTAGATGATTTGGACCCAAGCTTGCTTAGGTCCTCCCTCTCTTAAAAATTTGGGTGCCCTTGGGTCCAAACCCAAATCTCATACTTGGCTTATTTAAATTCCAAATGGTTTCAACTTTTTTTCCATGTGGGTCCCACATTTTGCAAATTTAGGTTTATCAAATACCTCACTTTGGAGCTAATTTCTCATTCACCTGGAAACAAATATAAGAAAGTAAATATATCACGTTCATCTCCTTGCGGAAAGGAAAGGTTCGTGTATAGATCTGCAAAAAACTCTTAGCGGAATCTATATCAAATTTCATCCAAAGTATACGTTTTGTACGCCCCATTTCCAACAATAGTCAAACAGAAAAATGATATCTTTTGATTATTTGAACAAGTTACCCAGAAACTGCCAAATACTCCCCTGTCCATCTCTCTCTCTGATCAGACCTCCATTTGATTCCCTTGTCATCTTATTCGTGTGTGCCAACAATCCTTCACAACCATTCTATATAAATCAACACATCCCCCTAAGCCTCTACACCACATTCTGTTTTCTCTACTCTTCATAGTTTAACCTCTGATCAGAGTCTGGTTAGCTCCATTGACCTTGGAACAGACGATCGGCCACAATTTTTGTCTATCTGTCTTTTTTTTTTTTTTTTTTTCCTCTCTTTGTTGAGTTTTTAGGTTTCATAGTTCCCAAAAGGGGATATTTTTTTTGCTTCACACTCTACCAACTGATTTTCCTTCCATTGAGTGAACATACACCAAGTCATGGATCTTGTAGTATCTACATCTGATTGAAAATCAGAACTAGTATACCCGACTGGGACCACATCATCACATCCATAATTGAGCATGTGATCATTGGTTTTCCTAAGGTACTTTATGATATTTTTCTCATTAGATCAGTTATCAAGTCCGAGATTGAATTGATATCTACCGACTATCCCTACAACGTAGCAGATGTCCTGTCTGGTATAGACCATGGCATATATGAGAATCCCACATGCTGAAACATATTATTCCAGTCTCATTTGCTCAATCTCCTTTGTAGTATTGGAAAACTACTTTCTAAAGAGAGCAATCAATGTCAATAAAGTAAGAACTCATTATTTGAGTTTTGCATACCAAACCTAGTCAAAACTTTATCAATGTAGGATTATTAATAGGCTGAGGTTATCACCTTTGACAAGAAGTCCTTACTTTTTTTTCAACATATATATATATATATATATATATATATATATATATATATATATATTGAATTAACCTAGTGTTTGGGCCCTCCACCTTTTTACGCGAAAATCTATGCTTAATGAGGCATGATTCCTGGTTACTCAATGAAAAGGGTTTGGTGTCTGGGATGAATTATGACTTAATTAGAATTAATCCTGCAACTTAGAAATACTTTTTACAAAGTTAAATTGCATGCGGTAACAAACCATGTGGTAAATAATAGTCTTTATTTACCAGATTAAAAAATTCTTGTAAATGGGCATTTTGGTCATTTTACGTTACTTTTTATTTTTCGTTTGGATCATGGTTGATCTGAGGACTCATTTTTAAGGGAGGTTTCTTTACAAACTTTTTCCAAAAAGTCCCGTTTTAGTCTCATTTTCTTTCAAAGATTCAATCTTTATATATTAAAAAGGTCTAGTGACTTAAAATGTACCTTGATTGAGGTATTTTCATTCAAAGATTCAATCTTTACTCATTAAAACACACTTCGCAACTTCACATGGACATAAATATAACAATGTAATTAGCCTAGACAAGTACTATCTCTCAAGCATATAAAGAAGTGAACAATTAAGCTATAAGAGTTTCAAGAATTGCTCACAAAGGTCCCAAGCAATAACGTCGGTTCCCAAGCTCGCTCCTGACGGCTTTAGGGTATTAGGTGTAAAGACAAAGAAATCGACTAAAAAATAGAACTTGTCTACTTTTATGAATACATCTTCAACAATACCTCTCGGTTGCCTGACAGAACGGTCAGCAAGCTCTTTAATTATTTATTTATTTGATTATTTATTTCTTTTCTTGTTGCCTTACGGTTTTGTATTGGGTAGATTGGTTATGATAGGATCAAAGTAGTCATTCAGAGTCCAAGGAGCAGGTGGCACAGCTGGTGGTGTAGGTGGTATAACCGGTGGTGCATGTGGTGCAACTGGTGGTGGTGCAGGTGGTGGATCTATTGGAGAATCTGTGATAGATTGGGGATGTCTGAAGAGTGAATAAGTTCCCTTTGACGTCACGAAGAGTGTTTTGATGAGTAAAATTAGAATCTTTGAATGAAAATACCTCAATCAAGGTACCTTTTAAGTCACTAGACTTTTTATGAAATTTCGAGATTCCATATTTTCTTCATCTGGACTCCGAATTAGATGATTCTTGAGTCTAACGTTATTATTTTTCGTTGTCTTCCAGTGGTATGCACGGTTGCATCCATCAGATTGATCGAACCCTTCCTCTGATCGATTTTAGCAATAATCATTTTATTAAGGAATGTCAGACCAACGAAATTGTAAGTAACATCATATGTGCAAACAAACTGTAAATGATTTTTAGCATACTCTAATTTTTTGTGGTAAAATTTAACTTTAAATAACAACATACAAGTCCAGCCTGTTACTACATTGAGGAGTGGTAAAGTGGTTGATATCCAAGTTGAGAAACAGTGACGAGAAAATTGCCTTGGACACAAAGGTATAGAAGGTCAAAATTCTCAAATTTTTAAAATTTCAGTTATCGAGTAATCTAAAGGGTTTAGGCCTCCCCAGGTTGGGCTCGAGATTTAGATTAATATTTTTGTGAATATTTTAGACTTTGAAGGGTAGTTTATAATAATAGTTTTTTTTTTTTTTTTTTTTTCCTCTTATATTAGGTAAACAAAGGTTTAATTATTTTACATTTTTCTTCGGGTTTTTCCGCGGAAGGGGTTGATGAGGTTCGGGAAGAGTGGCAAGTTGTTGCCACGCTTTATTGGACCTTTTGAGATCTTCGACCAGGTAGGAGAGGTGGCCTACAAAGACATTCTACTGCATTTTCTAGGCTCACTGAAAACCATACACTCTTACCGGAATATGTGTTACCCTTATTGAGCAACTATTTGAATATGGTTTATGAAAAGC